TCCCTGGCTTTCACTTGTCTCCTTTCCCCTGAAGTAGACAGCACAAATCTCAAACCTTGGAATAGTCCAGTTATCATTACAGCAACATAACCAGGTGATCCCCAAAGCTGTGCAAGACTCCTGGCAAAGTTACCACAGAACAAGTGCTGAGGAGACACAGAGGGAGGACAGGTAGAGGGAATGAGGAAGAGCAAGGGGGAAAGAGAGACAAAGACTTTAACTTTTCAGCTGGAAAGACTTTTTAAATGATAATAAAACATTTGACACAATTTTAGCAATCTGTTTTTCTGCAGTAGTCACAGGAAGGTACTCAATCCAGTGTGGCTTTGGGCAGTTATATCACTGAAGCTACCTGGGCTGTACTTGGATACATAATCTTTGACCCCAGGTGCCTCCTCAGCATCTCTTGCCTCGCTGCCTGACCTGCCCTTCTTCAACTCACCCTCCAGCTCCAGGACTCATTTCTTGTACAGGAGAAGGGCTCTTTTTGCAAGTCATGAATCTTAAGATAAAGATTATTGGTGTTGGAGCAAGTCAATGGGAAGGAGGGTTTGCAAGTAAGACAGTTCTTGCCACCTGCCTGTAGACTTCTACTTGAGGTCACTGCTTTCTTTTTGTGTTTTTTTGAGTATCTAAACACTGCTCTAAGCACATAACTGATTTTAACCAAACCCTCCATAACTGCTCATGAATCAATAACTCAGGTCATTGAAGGTAGGAAAGGGGACATTTGGACACAGAACAAATTATCTGTTTCCCCCCAAATCATGAGTGTCTCAGATTAAGTTTAGGAGTTAAGGGCTCATGTTTCATGTAAGTGTCTGAGAAAATACAAAAGAAAGAAGGCAGAAAAGTTCCAGCATTAAAGATAAATAAAATGATTAAGTCTGACAGTCTCCTAAGCAGAAGAGACTAAGAATTATGCTAGGTTTTATAACCGTGTTCCTTCTAACCACACAAGAGAGTGACAAGGAAGTGAACTCTGACAGGTAAACCAGAGGACCTGCCCACATGTGTTCTTTCTGAGAGGTCCAGAGTCACATTACATTGGTGACACTGACAATCACTTTGGCAAGAATGGTGGCAGGGAGGGGAATGGAAGGCACCCCTGGAAGGCAGGAACAGTCCAGGGGGAAAAAAAGTAAGAGATATTTTTATTGTGCCTCTATCTCTAGAAAAATGCAAAGATCATGGTAATTCCCTGGGTTCAGGATAGGCCTGAGGAAGTCCAAAGGATGGACTTGAGAACATAAAGCAAAAGCCCTACCAGTATGAGAGGATTCCGTGGCTGCACACAGCCCCGGCAGCTTTTAGAGTATTCTCATAAATGTTACTTCAGGTCAGTGTCACAATAAGATAGTAAACGTGAATATTATTATTTCTTTCCAGACTTTAACTGATGAGCCAAGGAGAAGAGACTGACTTAGCACAGGCCACCATGTGAGTGGGTAGCAAAGCAAAACCCATTTCCTGGACTGCTCTGAAAACTAGGCCATGAGGCTAGGAGGCAGTGTGTCCAAAGAGAGAGAAAGCTGAATACTGTAAAGATCAACAATAAACAGAAATGGATGTAATGATAAGGTTAAAAAGATCCTATCCCAGATTATTCTTTTGGTAAAAGAAAAGGGAACAGAGATAACAGTAGCAATAGACTCCAGTCATCTAATGTAAAAACAGAATTCCAAATGCAAACTACTGTAAAAGGAGTCCAAGACAGCATCTGTAGAACTGGAACAAAGGCCATCCCAATCAACTGTGAGGCGGCCATACAACTATGATCAAAGAATTCTCCCCGAGGCCAAAGAAACACACCAAAAAACAAGGTGACTCAGCAATAGCAAATGAAGAAAACACAAGACTTCTCCAGAGATGAGACACATCAAGGACTTCCAGAGAGTCTGACACATAGCAAATGACTAGTCAGTGTTAGGGGCTAAAGTAGTTGGTGTCACTCTATGATAGCAGTAAAATCAGAAAGCTAGGTCCTGGGGCTGATATTGTGGCATAGCAAGTAAAGCCACCACCTACAATGCTGGTCCATCTGCTGGGAACTAGCTAAATAAATAATAGTGTACTCACCTACAGAATAATGGGTAATAATTAAATTAAAAAGAGGATATAAAACTGAAATACAGTGGGGCCAGCATTGTGGTGTAGCAAGTAAAGCTGCCACCTGCAATATGTGCACCGGTTCATGTCCTGGCTGCTCCACTTCTAATCTAGGTCCCTGCTTATGATCTGGAAGAAGCAGCACCCTCATGAGGAACTTGAATGAAGTTCCTTACTTTGGCCTGGCTCAGCTCTGGCTGTGTGACCACTTGGGGAACAAACCAGCAGATGGAAGAACTGTCTTTGCCTCTGTCATTCCTTCTCTCTATAACTCTTTAAAAAAAAAAATAAATGGGGCCCGGCGCGGTGGCACAAGTGGTTGAGTCCTCGCCTTGCACGCCCGGGATCCCATGGGGGCGCCGGTTCTAATCCCGGCAGCCCCGCTTCCCTTCCAGCTCCCTGCCTGTGGCCTGGGAAAGCAGTCGAGGACGGCCCAAAGCTTTGGGACCCTGCACCCGCGTGGGAGACCCAGAAGAGGCTCCTGGCTTCGGATCGGCGTAGTATCAGCCCGTTGCGGCTCACTTGGGGAGTGAATCTTCCATCCAATGATTCACTCCCCAAGTGAGCGCAACGGGTCGATACTACGCCGATCCGAAGCCAGGAGCCTCTTCCGGGTCTCCCACGCGGGTGCAGGTTCCCAAAGCTTTGGGCCGTCCTCGACTGCTTTCCCAGGCCACAAGCAGGGAGCTGGAAGGGAAGCGGGGCTGCCGGGATTAGAACCGGCGCCCATATGGGATCCCGGGCGTGCAAGGCGAGGACCTTTAACCACTTGCGCCACCGCGCCGGGCCCTATCTGCCTTTCCAATAAAAAATAATAAAAATAAATCTTTAAAAAATAAATAAATAAATGCTCTTGAAAAAAGAAAGCCAGGTCCTTCTCCAAATCTAGTCTTACCATGGTGACATGGTGGTCACAGTTTACTGTGATCTCAAGTGCTTTCTAATGAGAAGGGCAGACTGTCCTCCACCTCTTCCAGTGACATCATACTCGAGAACTGCTGTGCTGTTGTCTATTAAGAGGTGGCCTAGCACATTCTACAGTTTGCCTTAGTGGAGGAATCTGGGGTTAGGGGTACAGGAGAGATCCTGGCTCTGCTTATTGGCCTCAATCCATGTGCAGGAAACCCTTGGAACAACTTTAGTCTTTAAGAGCTTTTCTCGGTCACCCAGCCTCCTGAAGCCAATGGAAATCCACAAGCAACTGCTAAGACAGTCACCTACACACCTGTCACCTCCATCAGGCTGTCCCAGCTTCCTTGGATCTTAATACATATCTAACCCACAGATCCCCAAGACTGGCTAATTGGCTTTACAAGGTGCAGCATTAGGAAGGAACTGAGGAGGAGACGAAGCTCAACAGCTCCTCTTTCCACCCTTGGCTCCCACGCACTCAGCTTCTTCACTCCCTGCTGGTCTTTCCTTCTCTCTTTCCTAGGATTGCTAGAATGATTTGTTCTGAACAGCGACAGGTTTATAGGTTAGCCGACACCTCTGCTCTGTGGAATTTTAATTAACTTCTCCCATCGTCAATATGCTAAGGAATGGGGTCTCCATTCTCTGGGGTCAGCAATGTGTTTCAGGTCCTGCTATATCAGCCGTCAAATTGAAGAATTAATGACGTGGCTAATCGGCTCTAATTCTTACAAGAAAAAAATTTGAAAAGGAGTTGTGGAAAGGAGCAGGAGGAGGGGTGCAGGCTCCATGGAGGGAGGAAAAAGAGGCTGAGCAGAGCGGGAGGGGTGGGGCGGGGGTCATCTCGCTCATAAAACAAGTGAGTGACTTACTCCAGTGTTGGAGGGTGGCAGCCCTACAGCTTTCCCTTTCCATCTGGGTGAGAAGTAAGAGGTGAAGGAAGTCAGGGGAAGACCCTGGATGAGTACTGTGAAAAAACAGGTATGGGAGAGAGTCCATGGATCCCGCTGGGGAGGAGAGGCTCTGCCTTGGTTCCAGAGAGGCTAAAAGCAGAAGTTAGGACACAGAGCTTTCTTGCTCAGAGGTAAAGTCAGAGAATTACCAGTTGGGCAAAAGTGTAGGATACACACATTATCAAAAATTCCACGTTTCTAGAGTGGCATTGAACCCAGCAGTTGAGATTCCCACCTCCCATAGTGGAATGCACAAGTACAGTTTCTGGATCCAGCTCCTGACCCCAGCTTCCCGCTAATGCATACCCTGTGAGGCAGGCAATAGTAAGAGCTGGAGTAGCTGGCTTCCTGCCATCCGTGTGGGAGACCTGGATGGAGTTTCTGGCTCCTGCATTTGACCCTGACCCAGTCCAATCAATCTGGGCATTTGGGAAGTGAACCAGAGGATGGAAGATTTTCTCTTTCTTACACTATATTTTCCCTTCTCCCACCCTCCCTCTCCTTCCCCCTGCCCAAATCCTCCAGTCTCTCAAACAAACTTCACTCCTCTGCTACAATTGTCCATGTCTCTGCTCCTGTTCACACATCTTCGCATGAGGGTCCAACTGGACATAGGCTCCAAGCCTCTCCTGATGGTTCAGGCTGGTAAAGGTCACTCCAGGGATACAGAGTAGAGATGAAAGTTCGGCTGGTACCATTATGTCTGCTTGGGGAGCAAGTCTAAAGAGTATCTGCTCCAGAAGGAACACCTTTGCTTAACAGTAGGATTCTTACAGTTCCAAAACAGAATATTTTTCTGAACATTTTTGGGTTGGATGTTGAGGAAATCAGTCCCTAGGCAGCTATCTCAACCACATGTGTATGTGTGTGTATATATATATATATGACTTGAGAAATCTAAATTCTCCAAGAGTATTTCAAAGCAATATAAAATACACTAGTGGCAGATTTTCCAGCTCATCTGATCTAGCAAACAAGCAGCATTATGACATAGGACAAAATGATATTTAAAAGACTCTCCCTTACCTGAGTAACGGGCTGATAGCAATGGACCAGACTCGGTCTTCAGTCTGGATGGTGTGTAAGCACTGTCCCAGCCGGCCCGAGGCCAGAGGCCATACCTGGAAATGGGGAATGGAGATGTTCTGGCTGGCAATGCCTGAGGTTAGGAGGGAGGAAAGGTATATCAGGTGAGGTGACTAAGCCTAGGGAGATAGACAAATGGAGAGACCCCTTTGGTCCTGCACGCACAGAGCTCAGCAGAGAGGCTACTACAGCTTTGCTGTCCTGCCACTCAGACAGATCCCAGCTCCCAGGGAAAGCCCTTACTTACTAGCCCATTCTATATACCAGGGTATCAGAAGCTGCTGGGCTGAAATTTGAGTGAATAGAAATGGAGAGACAGGGTTTGCTTCTCTCAGCAACTTCCCCATGTTTGTGGATTATCCATTCTCTGGTCACTCCTAAGATTTGACTTTGGTGACAGAAAGGAAGGAAGATCAAGGTGCAGAAAAGGGCACTGCACACCACCAGAATTAGAGAAAATAAAAAGAAAGGGGCAAGGGAAGGAAAGACTGGAAGAAGAGACTTCAAAGAAAGAAGGTGGTGTGTTGTTTGTTTGTTTGTTGATAACATGCAGTATCCAATGCTATTCATGTCAGCAGGGAATTTAGCACCTAGTGTCACCAAAAGTAGCAGAAAAGCTTAACTCTTTTAAGCTTCCATATCTCCTACAGGTTAAAAATATTGCTTGGAACACATTATCTGGTTCCTATCAGTCAGGAATGTACATTAGCAGGCACTCTGGGCTTAACTCTAATCAACACTCCCAAACCCTCTCAGCAGTCAGTGCATTTAGAACTCTCCCATTAAGCATAGGGCTCCCCCTTTACCTCACCCTATCCCAGATGACACACACAGGGACATAAGCCTGTAACCAAACAGAAAGAAACCTCAAATCTACAAGGCTGTCCCCAGGCAACAGACACTGAGAGGATCCCGAGGCTGCCAGATGGATCAGTGACCTCTCAAGGTCCCAGAGTGCTATAAGGGGAACACAAGAAATGCCAGCCGAACCTTAGAAGGAAGAACTTTAAGAAAACATTCCTTGAGTTTAAGGGGTAGGTGATGGAGTTGGGGGAGGCCCTCCCTGCTTAGGGTCACATGGTATCTCTTCCCTATAAAAAGAGAAAGTGCTTCTTAGAGTTTGTGTGTGTGTGAGGGGGGATGGGTAATTGTGAAGCTAATTCTTCCCAACACAGGGAAAAGAAATTAACAAGAATATCCTGAACAAGGAGAGCAGAAAACACAACAGGTAAATATCACAACTTAGAGGACCCTGATTCTGGTTTACTTTTTGGGCTTTAAATCCTGTCCCCTTTAACAGTAATGAGATAATATTTCCAATTTCCTCTGTTACACAGCCCCAGCTTGGAACCCCTACCTTGTGCCTGACAAACTCTGGGAGGCACGTTCTTGCTTTTAGTGTGGGGAGACACTAGAACTCTATAATAGAGTTCAAAATCTAGGAGCAATCCAGAATACCCCCAAATCCACTAAGCTTGGATGCCTATAAACCATAAAACAAGGGTCCTGGTGTGGAATACTGCAGGAGTGGCACAGGAAGCATGCTGCCCATGTGGAGTTCTATTCTGGGCAAGTGGCCCCAGGCCGCCCCAGGAGTGCATCATTCTCCAGGAACTGAGTATCATGGCCCAGGAGGGGCAGCAGTTGACAACAATATGCTGATTGCACCTCTCCCTTGATGGTCAAATTCAAAACATACCCAACCCAGAAGACTCCAGAGGAGCACACATTTCTATAGCCCTTTGAAAAGCTGACTTAGTGATATGTGCCAAGACCCTTAAGATGACCAAAGCCTGGCTCAGTAATTTTGATGCTGAGAATCTATCCTGGGAAAATAACACCAAGACAAAGAAAAATCTAAATGGTAAATATTTCCTGTAGCCTGGAGTTGCAGAAAAACCACACAAAGACTTTGGAATCTGACCAATCTGACATTGAATCCTACCTGTTAACCTTTTATGTTTGATCTCAGGGATGTTTTATAACTTCTTAGTCTCAGTTCCTCATGTGCTAAATGAGAAAGGTGACTATCTCTGGGTGCTAGTGTGGAAAAGTCAAATATAAAGAACAAAGCACAGGAACACAGTATTTCACAAGGACTGGGCATGGGCATTCTATGATAGTGGTCCTCATGACTAAAGGCAGAAACAGAATACAAACACTCACCTATCAGAAAAAAATTAACTTATGGTTAATCCATTAGGAAGCCATTAAAAGATGACATGAACAATGGGAAACCTTATAAAATAAGTACAGCACAGCATTCTGGGTATCCAAAGTATATTATAAGCACAATTGTGTGTGTGTGTGTGTTTGTGGAATGTACCCCAAAGGATAAAATAAAAAAATGATTACATTTACAAAGTGCTTATGACAATGCCTAGTTACAACCTATGATGTTACAATATAGGTAAACAAATTATTGCTCTGAGAAACGACTGAAGGAGAGTCTAAAGACATGACCAGAAACTGTTAGAAGGAGATAGAAACATCCTTGCCACAAAAGGATTCTAGCAAAGGCCAGAATTTTCTCCACTTCCTGTGCTATATGCACTATCTCTGACAGAATACAAAGATTAACATAGAAAACAATCAAGGGAGGAAAAATGTGCATAGATAGAAGGGATTTTGTTTAGTTCCCCATCACACACATTAGCAATATTTCCACAAGGAGTAAGAACCAGAGGGGTATGTGGAGTCAGAGAAGTTAGCTTATAAAGACCAAAACGTCTTTTTCCCTGCCTTCTCTCTACATTTCTTAGAGACCATTTGCTGACACCAATGAGCATTTTGCTCCTGTTAGCATTATCGAGCCTCCAGATGCCAAGAAACAGCTAAGACACACCTGCACCTCCTGTGCCACTAAGGGCCAGGTCTCTGTAGACTCTGGCTAGGGCTGTTGGACACAGGAATGAAGAAATAATTACTTCTTTTATGGATCGGAAACTATTTGACCCAGACATGGATGAATCGGCTCCATAAAGCTGGGCCCACACTATCAGCTTTCTCTGATGCCCTGGCCGATATTTGTAGACCGGGCAATTTAGCAAGACACAGCAACCACCACCCTTTTCTCAACATCTCTGCTGCTTACTGACCATACCACTCTCCAGAAATACAGCAAAAACATATTTTAATAATCAGCCTGATTACTTATAAACAAGGTGGTGAAAAACTAATCTCCCTACACCGGGAGTAAAAAAAATAATAATAATAAAAAAAAAAGAAGGAAGATTTTAAAATAAAACATTGGAGTCAGAACTCAACCCACAAACTTGAGGAAATTCAGTTCAGGGAGGAAAAGCTGGCCAAGTCTTCTGTTTTTGAGTTCACGCCACATTTCATGTGAATGGCAAACTTCCCAGCCACTGTCCACTCCTTTCCCAGCGCAGCTGGCAGGAATGCCACCTGGCATGGCAAACCCACATGCCAGAGGCACATAAGTGAGTCCTTTATTGTATCTTTTTTCTCCCTACCCCCACAGCACTCTCAGCCAATCCTGGGACTTAAAGCCACATCCACCCTCTCTTGCACCCATCTCCCTACAGACGTAAAGGGGACACCACCTCACCTTGGCCGTTCTGTCCCTGGAGCCACTCACAATGATGCCCCCTTTGCAATCCACACAATTCACCTCCTGTTCATGAGCCGTGTACTTGACAGTGAAGGTGCTGTGAGTCTTATGAATGCCAATCTTTCCATCTCTAGGAGAGAAATGAACCCACCCCAAGCAAGAGCCAATTATTTTCTCTGTAGGGAGAGGCAAACCTATAGAAGCAACCCAAGTCTGCAATGATATCCAAATTTGCCAAGTTTTAGGTAATTTAGCCCAATAAAGTGCTGCAGTTTTAGATAACTTTTCTTCTTCAACTCACTTGGTGCTGAAAAGAGCTGAGAAACAAAAAATTTCCCGTGCAGAGTATCAAAACCAACTTCACTTTTCATTAAAAGTTCTATTTCCTTCTCCAGTTGGCCCTATAAACTGCTTCTGGTAAGTCTCTCCACATCTCTGCTTTAAACAGCAGGGGAAGGGAACAGAGAGCCACTACCTCTTCTAGGTTTCCTCTTCATTACTTTGGAGTTGCCAGAAAAGTCAGAACCTGCAGCAGGTCCCCGAAGAGAAGGAAGGAAGATAGCAGCAGAAGAAACATGCAGCACTTACCCTCCTGCACTGATAATATGTGAGTTGGCTAGCACGAAGTGGCAAACGTCCTCATCATGACCAGCGAAGACTCCCAGTGGCCGACGGTTCAAGCTGGCACCATCTGGGCGGAACTGGTAGGCCAGGATGAAATTAGCCTGGGATACATACAGAGAATCATCCTCTAGTTGCATCCAGGGCATCTGACTACAGAAAAATAAGAGAATTCAAGAATCATCAGGTTCCAGCAAGAAAACCTGAATCAAATCATTAAAAAGCTGACAAACCCCCATTGCATCAAAGTTAACACCCTACACCTTAAGCCAATCCTGTTTTGAAACAACCTACCCCTGGGCTATCCTGCGAAAACTAGAGTGATTAAGCTTTGTGATGAGTCTGGATTTTCTAAAAAAGTCAAAATTAAAAGACCAGGGAGAATCAAGATGGCAGAATAGGGTTAAAGACACGTTTAAACGGACGGAAAAACATTTAATCAGGATGAAGCAGAGAGGACATATTTCAGGAAATAGGAAAGGACAGAACAACAGCAGAAGGGTACCTGGAGACTGACAGACACAGGAAAGCAGCGGACACAATGGTGTGGTGTGGTATTGCAGTGACTGATAACTCCAGCAGCATTCAGCTAACTGCGATCTGACCTTCACTGGCAGCCGGAACTCTACCAGCAACCAGGTGGGAAGGGTCTTTCACTGGGAGCTTGGGAAGTGAACCCAGACAAAGAACTGTCTGTCCTGCTACTCCGTTTGATTTGATCAGAAGCAGAGACAGAGCAGCAGATCTCAGACGGGCAGTGTGAGAACAGGGTGTATTTCATAGCCCAGTCAGCCCCCTAGAGCTGAATTGGGCGCCATTTTGCGTAAGGAGGAAAGGGCAAGGGAAAGGACTGAGCATGCGCTGAGCTGGGAGTGAACTCATTTCTGACTCAGTGAACTGCATCGATGTGGCATTCTATGGGTTCCACCCAGGACAGGTCTGGGTAGCCCTCAGATCTGACAGCCAGCAGATCAAGAACTGTAGTGGTAGTATATCAGGCGCCATTTTGCACACTGTGGCAAAAGCTATGGGACTGCAGCAGACAAGTGAACTGCACATGTGCTGAGCCCGGGAGAACTCCTGACTTCACTGGATTGCACTGGTCCTGCAGGAAAATATTACCGACTGTGGCATCGTACCAGTCAAAATATGTCCGTGTGGCACCCAGACCTAACGTCCCACAGGTTCTGACAAGATCAGCGCCACCAACAACCTAATTATATAGGGCACCTGGTGTCTCTCTAATCCTGGGACCTGTTCCAACCGGAAGTGGGAGAAAGGTTGCAGAGACAACAGTGCAACCTCAGCACGGTATCACAGGAGGAGAGTGGTGAGCCAAGAACTGGGGCTGCAGAGACCACAGTGCAAATCTGACATAAGAACCCAGAGCTGGAACTTGCTGGAGATTGTGGCACAAGTGACTGCAAGCAAAAAGTTGTGTACCAACTGCAATAAGTAAAATCGCATTGTAGACCTGTGGGTGACACAGCTTAGAAACCTGCCCCAAGAAGACGACTCTGCTAACCAGAAGTACAATGATCAAGAGTAAAAGAAGAGACAAAAACACAATGAATATTGCCAAAAACTCCCCTGCAAAGGAGCAAAACTTTATGCCAACCTCAGAGTTAACTGAGGAAGACATCGAGAAAATGGGGGACACAGAATCCATAAGACTCATTTTAAAGATTCTCATCAAAAATGAGAAATACATGCAAGAGTTCAAAGAACTTAAGAAAGCAATAAAGCAAATCAAGGCTGATATATCAGAAATTAAGAACACAGTAGAGCAAATTACAAGTGCAGTGGAGAGTCTCCAAAATAGAATGAAGCAAGCAGAAGAAAGAATCAGAATTGGAAGATATTTCCTGTCACCAGGGGGAAACAAACAAAAAGCTGGAAGCAGAGCTGGATCAAGCCAAAAAAAGCATTCAAGAATTGAAAGACACTATTAAGAGGCCAAATATAAGAGTTACGGGAGTCCCAGAAGGTGCAGAAAGAGAAGCTGAGTTTGCAAATGTATTTAATTAAATAATCAAGGAAAATTTCCCTCATCTGGAGAAAGAATTGGGAAACAAGATCCAGGAGGGGCACAGAACTCCCTACAGGCTTGATCAAAAGCGATCTTCACCAAGACACATGATTATCAAGCTCTCTTCCATTGAATGTAAGTAAAAGATTCTTAAATGTGCACATGAAAAAAAATCAATTGACATATAAAGGAATGCCAATTAAATTCACAGGAGATCTCTCACAGGAAACTCTACAGGCAAGAAGAGAATGGAGTGACATATTCTAGATTGTAAAGGCAAAAAATTGTTGGCCTAGGATAACATATCCAGCAAAGTTTTCTTTCGTCTTTGAAAATGAAATAAAATTCTTCCACAATCAAGAAAAGTTAAAAGAATTTGCCTCTTCCAATCCTGCCCTACAAAGGATACTTCAAGATGTTCTCTTCACAGAGAAGAGGAATAGCACCTACCAAAACCAAAGGCAAATGGGAAGAACATCCCAGGAAATAAAAACAGAAGAGTAAATCAATGAACAACCCATTGCTAAAGTTACAGGACCAAAGCACCACCCATGTATATTTAACTCTGAATGTAAATGGCTTAAGCTCAATCAAATATAGATTAGTAGACTGGATTAAAAAACAAAACAAAACCCATCTGTTTATTGTCTGGAGGAGACACACTTCAACAAAGACCGGCAGAAACTATATCACATGGGTTTTGTTGTTTTCTGTTGGTTTCATCTCTTCAAAACACTTTCTTCTGATTAAATCATTCAATGACTCGTAGATCATGCAGTGGCATGATTTTCTTCAAGAAGGTTCTTGATTTTCATTTCTTCAGCTACACGTTAGTCATTTGATAGCATGTTATTTAACTTCTTGGTGGTGTTAATTTCTTTTTTCTCCCTGATGTTGATTTTGTTTTGTGGCTCTTCATTTAATGGGATGTGTAGTAGTTGTGTAATGGAGATTGTCATATCTAGTAACATGCTATTTAACTTCTTAGCATTATAAATTTCAATTTTTCTTCCTATTGTTGCTCTTGTATCATGACTTTTCATTTAAGGGGATGTGCAGTAGCTGTGAAATGGAGACTAACATCCAGATGTGAGGATGCAGTGTAGTATATATTTCTGCTTCCAAAGATGGACTTACTATCTGCCATTGTCCATGCCCGCAATGATGGACATATGACTGAGTATGAAGAACTATATATTAGTAATGATACAGAGGAACTAGGTGGGGGGGAAGGGAATTGGGGAGGGGATAAGAGAATACTGAACTGTATCCATAAAATGATAATAATAATCAGAAAATGTAAAAAAAAAAAAAAAAACTAAAAGACCAAATAAAGACCCAGCAAGGTAGCCTACCAGTCCTACCAGACCTTGCCTTGAATGTGCCGGGATCCCATATGGGCACCGGTTGTATTTCAGCAGCCCCATTTCCCTTCCAGCTCCCTGTTTGCGGCCTGGGAAAGCAGTTGAGGACGGCCCAATGCCTTGGGTCCCTGCACCTGTGTGAGAGACTCAGAAGAGGCTCCTGCCTCCTGGCTTTGGATCAGCTCAGCTTCCGCTATTGTTGCCACTTGGGGAGTGAATCATCGAATGGAAAATCTTCCTCTCTCTCTGTCCTCCTCTCTGTATGTCTGACTTTGTAATAAAAATAAATAAATCCTTTTTTTAAAGATTTATTTATTTTTACTGGAAAGGCAGACATACAGAGGGGAGGAGGGAGCCACTACCTCTTCACTCCCCAAGTGACCACAACGGCTATAGCTGCGCCGATCTGAAGCCAGGAGTCAGGAGCTCTTCCAGGTCTCCTACATGGGTGCAGGGTCCCAAGGCTTTGGGCCGTCCTCAACTGCTTTCCCAGGCCACAAGCAGAGAGCTGGATGGGAAGTGGAGCTGCCGGGATTAGAACCGGTGCCTATATGGAATCCCAGTGCATTCAGGACGAGGACCTTAGCTGCTAGGCCACGCCGCTGGGCCCAAAAATAAATAAATCTTAAAAAAAAAAAAAGGTATCATTTTTAATAGGAGAAAGCTTAATATCTGAATAACTAGACACCTGGACTCTTCATAGGTAGGTGAGGCTTACAAATTTTAATGACTAAGAGAAAAATTCCAGCTAGGTGAAATAACACTTTCCTTTGGCATCTTCACTGATTAGAAGTTTAGTGGTTAAGTTTCAAAGACCTAAGACACTCTTTCCCAAAAGCTCAATTAGCAACGTGGTGGAGGAAAAAGAAGTCTGTGTCCCCTTATGAAGACCCATTCCCTGTCCAACTAGAGCAAAGGGGCCATTTGTAAGTGAAAGGAGAAAGGCTATAGAAAGGTTGCTAATGAGCTGATTAGATACCTAGATCCTCTCAGAGATACCTGTGTAAGAGGGTACCAGTGGCAACAGAAAGCCAACTGTAGTTCAGGGGCTAAGAACTAATTCAGCTCTCACAGGAAACTAATAAGAGAAATCCACAAGTAAATAGCGATTCCCTTTACATTCTGAAGGAGAAAGACAAGTTAAAATTACTGCAGTAAGGGTTGGTGCAGAGGCTCAACTAGCTAATGCTCTGCCTTGCAGCACCAGTAGCCTATATGGATGCCAGTTCTAATCCAGGCTGCTCCACATTCAATCCAACTTCCTGTTTATGGCTTGGGAAAGCAGCAAAGGATGGATCAAATCTTGGGACCCTGCACCCGTGTGGAAGCTCCTGTCCCTTTGCCTTCAGATCAGCTCAGTTCTGACCATTGAGGTCATCTGGGGAGTGAACCAGTAGATGGAAGATCCTTTCTCCTCTATGTGAATCTGCCTTTGAAAAAAAAATACAAAAATTATTTACAGCACTGAGGGCCAGCACAACAGTGGCAGCTGTGGCATGGAGAGTTAAGCTGCTCCACTTCTGACCCAGGTCCCCACTAACACGGCCAAGAAGATTGCAGCTAATGACGCAAGTGCTTGGGTCCTTGACACCACATGGGAGACCCATCTGAAGTTCCATGTTCTGGCCTCAGCTGTGTCAGCTATTTGGGAAGTAAACCAGCAGATGGGATATTTGTGTGTGTATGTAACTCTGCTTGTCAAATAAATAAATCTTTAAATTAGTTTTTTCTTTTTTTTTTAATCACAGGCCTGTATCATGGTACAAAGTTTTTCTTAAGAAGAAGGGAGGCTGCCAGATACTAGGTTCTGGGCTGAGGACTAAGTTCCTATTCCAGGTAAAAACAGCAGCTCCCGCCCCCCATGCTGCTCTACAATTGTGCCCAAGAAAAGCACTGGGATGGATGACTCATCCTCACAGACAGAGACATATTCTCCCATGGCCATGCCTGTCTGAACAGACTGGGCAGACTGCACTGTGTTTCTTCCCTAGACTCCTTAGTAGGAGTGTCATGGGAATGTGGAAAAGTCCCACAAATGGACTTGACGGCCCATTAAATGCAGCTTGGACTTTGTAGTAAATGAATTTCTCTCATGAGGCTTTCACAAGTGTATGCATATATTATATCGAACATGTGTAGAGTGCATACAGATGTCTGAATTTCCCATTCATTATGCACATTCCTCTGCAACAGCCCCTACATGAGTGTGTGGCACACGTAAGCAGGCAATAAGCAACAGAGAAGGGAATGCATGTGTTGAGAGCCATCTGGTAAACAGCCATTTGCCTAGGACAAGAAACCAGGTTCACGCCAGGTGAACAGTGGAGAATCCCAGGGCAGCCTGGTAAGTGTTCTGTTTCTATTTGCCAGACTGGATGAAACCAGCCCAAAATGACAACGTCAGGGACAAAACATTGGTAGAGGAATAAAGCCTTCACTATAAAAATACACCTTTCTCTCCTGAAGTTTCTCGGCTATCACCACAAGCATCCCTACACAATTCAGGGCAAATGGTGTCAGTGAAGCCAGTGGAAGGTGGACACAGTGAGAGGGAAAGGCACAGAGGAAGAAAGTCTGCCTCTTCCTAGCAGCACAGGTCCAAGTCAACCTGAGAGGAGAAGTTGGGAGGTTCCCTATCACTGCAACCCATCAACAAAACACCCTCAAACAGCACCCATGAACCCTTTAGCATCCATGAAGCTTGAAACCTGTGGCACTAGAAGAGACAACATTATCCACACTTCTTGGCACTTCTCCTAAGCTCTATTTCCTATATCTTCCCATACATATCCAAACCTTTAGATCCTATTTTTTTAAATAAAGAAGTGAGCCAAAAGAGGAGTAACTCCCTAAAGGGTCTATAGCAAACTAATGGTAAAACAAGATGGATGGAAATATTTGGTTTTACTTATTTCCTTTCATGAGGTAAGTTAACAGATTACCTCTGAGTTTTGGGATTACAGATAAATTTTTTTTGTTGTTCTTTAGTATCTATTTTAAGACATTTCCACAATAAACTTTTTAATGATCATAAGAAATGAAATTTGCTAAAATAGCGCACCTTTCTGATAACTGTTTTTCAATGCGAAAAACAGTTGTCCTTCTTTTTGGTATCTGAGGTTCTCCAATGCCAGCCCACCTGATATAGCCCAGTCCCTCCCCAGCTAGGACCAGCTTTTTCACGGACCACTATGCTTTCCTGTCCCAGGCAGCTTTGTTACAATCCAGGGGTTACTTGCCTGCATTTCCACTTCAGCAGTATCCCTTCTCGGCAGCGCCCCAACTTCCAGTTCTGAGACACCTTCACCCGCTCCTTCACAGGGACACTGGCCATCCTAAGTCCAGACAGAACAGAAAATACAGTTACTACCACTCCTTGGCAGCCACAGACGATTCCCTGATTTTACTGAGTCAGGATTCAGCATATTCAGAATATATCCAAAACTGAACACTCTGTTCCCACCCTGTTACCCACAGCTGCATTTGAAATTTCTACCTACAATAAACCATTATCCAAAAATATTAAATGAATAATTTCATATTTAAAACATCTGTAATTTTTTAAATAATTTTTAAATTTATAAAAATTCAGGGTTAGAACTGGCGCCCATAGAGGATCCCGGTGTGCTGAAGGCCAGGACTTTAACCACTATGCTATCACGCCAGGCCTTCATCTGTAATTTTTTTAAAGATTCATTTTATGTTTATTTGAAAGAGTCAGATGGGCTCGGACAGCAGCTTAGTGGTTGGAGTCCTCGCCTTGCATGCGCCAGGATCCCATATGGATACCGGTTCTAATCCCAGCAGCCCTGTTTCCCTTCCAGCTCCCTGCTTGTGGCCTGGGAAAGCAGTTGAGGACAGCCCAAAGCCTTGGGACCCTGCACCCGCATAGGAGACCTGGAGGAGGCTACAGGCTCCTGGCTTCGGATCGGCACAGCTCCAGACACTGTGGCCAATTGGGGAGCGAATAATTCGAGAAAGATCTTCCTTTCTGTCTCTCATCTTCTCTGTATATGTGACATTATGATAACAATAAAATGAATCAAGGAAGGAAGGAAAGAGAGAAAGAGAGAAAGAGAGAAAGAGGAAAAGAGAGAAAGAAAGAAACAAACAAACAAACAAACAAAGAGTGAGTCACAGACAAGACAGAGAGACAGGTCTTCCATCCACCAATTCTATCAGTTCACTCCCCAAATGCCACAATGACTAGCACTGAGCTGATCTGAAGGCAGGAGACAGGAGTTTCTCCCACATGAGTGCAAGGGCCCAAGAACTTGAACCATTTTCCACTACTTCCTCAGGCCGTAAGCAGGAAGCTGCATCAAAAGTAGAGCATCTGGAAGTAACCTATGTAGGATGCTGGCTCCATGGGCAGAGGCAGCAGCTTAATCTCTAAGTCATGGCACTAGCCCCTGTAAGGTTTTTTGTTATTTTTATACATTTTTTTAAAAGATTTATTTTATTTTCATTGCAAAGTCATATACAAAAAGGAGAAACACAGAAGATCTTCCATCCCATGTCCCCAAGTGACAGCAACAGCCAGTGCTGCACCGATCCAAAGCCAGGAGTCAGGAACTTCCTCCAGGTCTCCCATGCAAGTGCAAGGTCCCAAGGATTTGAGCTGTCCTCAACTGCTTTCCCAGGCCACAAGCATGGAGGTGGATGGGAAGCGGGGCTGCCGGGATTAGAACCGGTGCTCATATGGGATCCCAGTGTGTTCAAGGAGAGGGCTTTAGCTGCTAGGTCATGGCACCGGGTCCCCGTTACTTTTATTTTAATATTTATTTATTTATTTATTTATTTATTTATTTATTTATTTATTTGAAAGGCGGGGTTACAGAGAAGAAGAGATAAACAAAGATAGGCAATCTCCCATCCTCTGGTTTGCTCCCCAAATGGCTGCAACGGCCAGAGTTGGGCCAGGCCAAAGCCAGGAACCTGGAGCTTCCTCTGGGTCTCCCATGTGGGCGCAGGGTCCCATGGCTAAGGCCCGTCTGCCACTGCTTTCCCAGGTGCAATATCAAGGAACCAGATTGGAAGTGGAATAGCTGGGACAAATGGCATGTATAAGTAATGGGGTGAAGTCTCACACAGTGCTGGTCTGTGCTGCCTGCAACATGACTGATGCCTTTGTGCAGAGTAGTGGCACTGTTTATTCCACCCACTCACTAGTTACTCAGTGGGCATCTGTTATCAGAGCCACTGCTGCAATGTCCCAATTTGTATTCAAACAATCCTGAATTATGGCCCCAAAGTTCAAATGCATCAGAGCTAGCAATTCAGATATGCTCAAGAAAAGCTGAAAGTACTTTTTTTTTTAGTAAAAAGGTGAAAGTTCTCAACTTTTCATGGACAGGTATGCACTGGAAAAAAAAAGTAGTGTGTATAAAGCTTAGTAATATCTGCAATCTTGGGCATCCATTGGGTGTTTTGGAGCATATGCCCTGGGCCTGGCGCGGTGGCCTAGCAGCTAAAGTCTTCACCTTGCACACGTCAAGATCCCATATAGGTGCTGGTTCTAATTCCAGCAGCCTCACTTACCATAATCAAGGACAACCCAAGGCCTTAGGACCCTGCACCCACTGGAAGGAGCTCCTGGCTCCTGCCTTTGCGGTCACTTGGGGAGTGAATCGGATGGAAGATCTTCCTCTCTGTCTCTCCTATCTGTATAGCTAATTTTGCAATAAAAATAAATAGATCTTAAAAAAAAAAAAAAGAAAAGAAAAGAACATATGCCCTGCAGATAAGATAGACCACTATACAAGTAAGGGTTTAAGAGACAAGGAAGGAGTAACTCTCCACTTTCTACATTTGGATAACCAAGAAACCCTGTCTTTTCTACTATTTGAAATGTCTACGGTGATGCCAAAGCAACATCATAGAGGATGGCCTACCAATAGTGCCAGAGTCACTGCATATCCACTTAGGAAAAAAATGAACTCTTAATTCACATCACCCATGAAAAGTAATTTAAAATAGATCATAAGTATAAACATAGAATCTAAGACTATAAAGCTATCAGAAGAAAATATACAGACACAGGTCTCTGGGGGATTGGTAAAGGTTTTAACCACACAGAAAGCAGTAACACAAGAGGAAAGTCCAATAGATCAGCCTTAATAAAAAGTAAACATTTTTGCTAGCCACTTGAATATATTGCCGCAATCTGGTAGAAAATGCTCAGAAAATTTTTACCTGGCAAAAGGCCTATATCCAGACAAAGAAATTCTTCTACATGTTCATAAATTTTTTGAAGGCTAATAAGGAGTCATCATACATTGTTGATGAGAAAGCAAAATGGTACATTCATTTTAGGAAAAGATCTGACAGTTTATTTAAAATCTCAATATACACCTGCTCTATAGCCTAGTAATTACCAAAAGTATATGTCCACAAAAAGACTTACCCAACAATGTTCACAGAGACTTCAGTTACAATAGCCAAAAGGTTTAAACAGCCCAGGCATCCATCAATAGGAAAATGAGGAAACACACATGTTCATATAATAGAGTATTATCCAGCCACAAAAAGTCTTACAAAGGAAAGCAAATGAATCACAAAAGCATCACGTTGAGTAAAACAAACAAGGGTCCATATACATGACTTCATTTACATAAAGTCTGAGAATAACTAATCCATGGTGAAAAAAAAAAAGATGATTACCACCAGAGGAGGTCATGGGGAGACAAGAAAGGAACAATAAGAACATTCTGGGGTCGTATTCTACATTTAAATTTTGAAGGAGTTTGGGTTTTACAAGGGTGCATGCATGTCAAAAGGCATTAAACGAAGACATGCATGTCCCATGTTAATATTGGGTACCTGAGTTCAGTTCCCATTCTCTCTCCCAATTCCAAGTCACTCATAAGGTAGCAAGTGGTGGCTTGAGTGGTGGGTCCCTGACACCCATATGGGGTTTAAATTTTTAGTTCCCAATAGGTCTGGCCATCCAAAGCACTTAGGAAGTAAACTAACAAGTGGGAGGGTTTATTCCCTCTCTTTTTCCATCCTCTGCTTCTCAAACAATATCTTTTTTAAAAGTACTAAATGAAACTAGAAACTAAGTGAAACTAGAAACCAGGATGAAGCACAGGTCATGCCAAGCTAGGCTCTTGCACCTACTGGTCTGCATGAGCCAGGAACGCTAAGCCACAGTGTGTAAAGCAAGGGCCGGGACAGATGAGGGGCTGTGCCAAGCTGAGTCAGAGCAACCACTGGCATGCACGTGATCTATGGCTGGGAACAGGCCCAGTTGGGGAGCCTAGGGGTGGAGCCTAACTGGGTGGAGGTTCCTCATGCACCAAGGAGCATGAGGCTGGAATGGGGGCTGAGTTCTGATCAGGATACGGTTATAGTCTCACTTAGCACAAGTGTGGATTGGGACTGGACGCACCAAGCTGGGCTAGCCTCCAACACCATCTGGTGCTCTGGAGGGCCAGGGTAGATATGAGATGGACTAGGCAAGGTCTCAGCCCCTACTGAGCCATGTGTGAGCTGTATGTGGGTATGGACGAGCCGTGGCTGGGCTGAAACATCCAATAGTAAGAATCAGATTGGGTTGAAGGCCAGTCAGGAAAAGCCACTGTTCCTGCTAGGATAGTAGGTAAACTGAGTAGGACTGGCTCATGGACCCCCTGGTATGTGTGAAATCTGACATTGGGAGAGGTTCTGATGGAGGAGCCTGGGCAACTCCTCTGGCAGGACACAGACCCTGCAGGTAAGCGCAAGAAGCATGGAAGGAAACAGCCCAGAACAGGCCATGGAAAATTTTCCACTGGCATACTTTTGGCATGGGTTGGGGGCAGACCAGGCTGAATCAGTTCACATCATCCACTGGCAAATCTGAGTACCAGAACAGAGTGTGGGTTGAGCCAAGTTCAGTTGCGACAAAAACCAGTGCACATTACAGAATGCCAAGGTGAGATGACCTGTACCAGATGTGGCTGCAGCACCCAACCAGCACACGTGAGAACCAGGAGGGAGGGGGCCGGAGATGGCAGATGGAATATGGGGAAGCTCCCCTGCTGGACAGCTACCTCCAACTGGAGAGCGTGAGCTGGGATGGGGGCAGACCAGACTAGGCAGGGCTACAATACCTGTGGGCCTCAAGTGCAAAATATCAGGGAAAAGCCAGGCTGGGCTGACTCTTCCTACTGTTGCTAGCATAAATCAGAGTGGGTGAGGGTTGGTTGGGCTTCGCTGCAGTATCAACTGGCAGATGCTAGCACAGGGGGCTAATTCTGTCAAGTTAAACAGCAGAACCACCTGGAGAGTGATGATCCAGGAGTGGGAGTGGCCTAGGAGAGAAATCATGAGCTCCTTCCTCTTGGGTTAC